AACTCGACTATTGGATATATATATATATCTCCTCACAAACACATCGCTTTTCTAAAATTCACTTTAAAAACCCATTTTTATAACAAGTGAAAAGAAAACAAAATATTTCATGTTTAAATTATCACTGATAAATTTATATACATTTATTAGCAAAAAATTAAAGAAAAAAAAAATACATATTCAAAGACACCAGAAAACACCTCTTGGAAGAAACTGCCATAATTACTAGAAAAAACTCATTGATAATAGTATTTTTTAGTTCTAGAACTGATGAAGAACAGCAAACAAAAGAGAACCCCACACTAATGAAGATCTCCAGTATTAAAAAGCTGCTTTAAAGGATATATAGAATTTTTGTTTAACATTTATATCAACTATTTTATTGAAGATAGACTTTCATTTTAGGCTGACCCCGGTGATGTAGATCTGATAATCATATCCATGTAACCGAACCCCAAAAGAAGGCATCAAAACAAGATGAAAATCAAATTAACACAAAAGCCTAAATCCCAAATTAAAGGAAAATCAGAAGTCTGATAAGTTGCAGAAAAATATGTAGATTAATTCTCACACAGTAATTTACACTTTTCTTAACGTAATTTATAAACAGACTTTATCTCGGCCTGTTCATTCATTCTGCATTTAGCTGATTGTTTTCATCATCTTCTCCTCTTCACTGTTCACCTGTTGAGAAAGTCAAATATACAGTCATTGCAGCTTCCATAGTTTACTTCATATTTAAAATTAAACTTAAACTTACTTTCTTAGGATTTGATTCATCTGAAGAAGAAGATGACGTGTCAGAAGCTACAAAACAAAAAACAATCTAAATTTGGTCTTGGCTTTCACAGTATGACATGAGAAACATATTTTTTTTATCAGACAAAGAGGAAAAAATATTTTAAATACTCACTATTGGTTCGCTTAAACCCTGAAACAAAATGCAGAACATTTAGTTTTTTTTTTTTTTTTAAACAAAATATTTACATTTAGATGAAATTCAGCATTAAAATTACCCATTCTTATAAAATACAAACCCAAAAAAACACTATAGCATGAAGACCAATAGGACTGAAGTAAAACCTGTTTCATTAAATAAGTTTCTTACCATTGTCTTTTCTTTTACACCAGACGGCCAGACCAGCAATAGCTGCCAGAGCAAGAATTACCGCAATAACACCCCCAACAACAGCCTCAACGGGGAACCCTGAAGAACCTGAAAAAGAACAATTAACACTGAATATGCTATCTCAGTCATCAGAACAAGTGATGAAAAACAGGACAGAATTAAATTGAAGGGGTAAAAAAGCTTTAAGTGAATAAAACTAGTCAAGTAATCCTGGAATTACAAATAGGTTTCAGTTGATTTCTTTAAAAGTTTTGTGGGGCTATAAATTTCTAGTCATTGGTAAAATTTAAGTAATCTGCTCATATAAGCCAAAAAAACCCACTATGTTAGATTCAGGTAATAACATCCTGTCACTGTGAAGAAAAACAAAATGAGCTATGTATAAACCAATCTAAAGGCTAAATTAGCTAAATTATAAGAATTTCAATAAATCAGGAGTAAATACCTAGGTGGGTTTCCCACACGTAAAAATATGAAAACATCTCTGACCCACTTTTCATAACTTAGACAATAACAAAGTTCCCTTTTTCTAAGGTTAATACAAATAAAAATATATAGAAACATTAAATCTAGTGATGGGTCCAGTAACACAGATGTGTCGGTGCATGATTCTAGCTCTTACAGCAAAACCCTGTGTCGGTGTACCCTACCATTTCAAGAAAGTCACGTGACTGATACATAAGCTGTTTCGACCTGACTGGCGCACTAGACTTTGTTTATAAGCGAATCTTTCAATGCAACACTTCTGCAAAAAAATGAAACTCTGATCTTTTGTGATTTATCATCAAATTAATCAAGAAATATGGAGAAGCCTAGGGGCAAAAGAAAGGTTTCAGACCAGAGGGACCATTTTGAACTAATTTTAGTTTTCTTGTTGTGTCGTCCTGTTCCTGTTATCACTCGACTTATCTGAATTTAAATTGGATTCAAACTGTCTTTAGTCTACCATATTTACTGTACTTATTGTTTTGAATATTTTTTTAAATCCTAGTCCATAACCATCCTCATTCACATGTTGACTTAAAATTTCACATTATATATTGACTGCAGAAAAATATCACAAATAACCCTAATTCAGTTTGAACAAGGATATGTAATAATACAACATAAGATTGAATGACTTAAATTATAATATTGTAATATGACATCAATTCAGTGTCAGTTTTGATTGACAGAGTATCAATGCAGCATCAATAGTTTTGCAATTTGTCAAAATGTCTCATCAACCCATCACGGCTACAATCAGTTTATACTGTATAACACATACAAAAACTAATCAGGGGAGAAAATTTTCATAATATTTTATTCTAACCGTTTCCAGTCCTGATTTTGTTTTTCTCCAATCTGTTAATGATGTCTTCTTTGTGTCCAGAGAGCTGAAACACACATTCATATTTGGTCCAGTCCTCAGATGATGGAAGGTCCAGGTCAACGTTCATCTGGAAGGTTCCATCATTGTTAGGGAGGATCTCTCCTTTCTCCACACCATCATGGATCTCTGCTCCATCTTTCCTCCAGAACATTTCTGCTCTGTTGGGGTAGAAACCTGTAGCAAAGCAGCTGATTGGAGAGGAGGAAGACTTCTGGAGGAAGGACACTGATGGAAGATCTGAAATAACAAAAACAAAATTTAAAACATAACCGGTTTATAATGATTCATATCTAAGGAAAAACAGATTTATTAAATTTTTTGGGAACTTGAGAAAAGTCTTAGATTAAAAAAACTGAGTCATACAGTCAGAATGTGGGAAAGACAGTTAAATCTAGATGAGTGCTATGAAATTCACTAGTAATATAAATATGACTAATCCTCATAGAGTGACTTCAGACAAAAAAAATAGACATGTGACTCTACCTGTTCTCATCAGAGAACTCTTTCCATAGTTGACATACTTCTTCAGCCACTCAGGACAATGCTGGGTTAGGTAGACCTTCGTATTTGCCATCAAAGCTTTGTCATTGTCCCATTTGTTTTTAGTAATTACAGCCTGTGGTATGGGAGCTACCCAGGTGTACGTCTTTGTGTCCAATATCAGGAAGTCTTCTCCATCATAGCCTTCTTGTCGAAAGCCAGTAACCTCACCAGTCTCATCATCCCACTCACAGCCGTACATGGTCATGGTAGTGTGGACACCTAAAGACACACAGAGAGAAAATAGAGAAAACTAAACGATTTTGATATTAGTTTTCATTAACACACAACAGACATTCAAACAGTCCAGACTTCTTAGAAATAATAATAATAATAATACATTTTATTTCAAGCGCCTTTCAAAACACTCAAGGTCACTGTACATGTAAAAACAATAAATGGTAATGGTAGAAAGGATAAACAAAACAATAAAATCAAATTGCTAAAAAAAACTTTTACGTTTTCACACCAAGAAACTGTCTGCACAACTTATATATACAGTTTTAGATGCAACAACATATCAGCCAATAAACAATTAAGTGTTGACAATGAATTTAATTATCGATTTGTGACCAGCTATGTTTGCGTGACTTGCTATTTGACAGAGCTGTTTTTTCCCCTGCAGAGCTTTGTCAGTATCAGCTGACTGAAATAAAGTCTAAAACAACACATCAACCTGAAGAGTAAGATAAAAGGAAAGAGGCAGAATGGCAAGTAAATCCCAAAAATAATCAACACAGAGAAAACGGTTCAACATAAGTCCTCACAAGACTGGGAGCACTTTTCTCTACAAAAAAATACTTCATAAATGCCTGAAATGCTACCACTGCAAACGTTTTGTACTGTAGTACAGGCACCACATGATAATATAGCACCTGAGATGGAAAAATGGAGTCATGAAGAGAGCAGCTATTAATGAGCCTCAAGGTCAGTCTCTCTTATAGCTGAGTTGATGCTGCTGTCTTAGCTGGTAAATTACAATGATACACTATTTGATTATTTCACACAATGATGGCAATAATTAAATGATTACATTTCTTTATTTGTAAAAAAAAATTCTGAGTGAGACACTGCTTTGTATGGCGCTGAGGAGCAGAAGTCAAAAAAGACTTTTTGCTCTGGTTGCACCAAAACCATATCTGACCCCCTGATTTTACAGGCTTGCTACTATTTCTGAAAATTGTTTTTATTAATCATTAATACATGGGCTGCTCAGTAGAGTGTGGGTAGCACTGTTGCATGGAAGCAAAAAGGTTCTGGGTTTGATTCCCAGCCCTGGGTCTTTCTGCATGGAGTTAACATGTTCTCCCTGAGCATGCAGGGGTTCTCTCTTTCAGGATTTGGTGTTGGTTTGAGGACCCAAATGCAGAGGCAAGTAGGCAGAGGTGAATTTAGGTGGTTTAATGAGGTTCACAGGAACTGAGACAGGAATCAAAAATCCAACAAAAATAACAAACAAACCAGAACCAAGGAGACATCAGGGGAAACCAAACAAAGAGAGGGCCAACGAGGGAATTGAAAACAGGTGAGGGCAGAGCAGAAAACAGAGCAAGGGAAAGAGGACACAAGAGGGCAGCAGAGGACAACAAATGGAAAACCAAGAAAACAGGAACTTACAAACCAAGACTGTGACACTCTCTGGGTACTCCAGCTTCCTCCCATTGTTCAGAAATATGACTTAGGTCAGGTTAGGTTAATTGGCTTCTCTAAATTCTCCTTATGTGTACGAATGGTTGTTTGTCCTGTTTGTCTCTGTGTTACCCTGGGATAGACTGGCGACCTGTCCAGGGTTTACCCCGCCTCTCGCCCACTGACAGCTGGGGATGGGCACCAGCACCCTTCGCAATCCAGCTTGGGATAAGTGTGACGGAACATGAATGAATAAATATTAATCATTAAATGACTAACTCTCTGGTCAACAAAAAGTTGTTATTGTTTAAGAATAATTATTTATTATTTAATCCTATTAGGGATGCAAATTATCGATTAATTCATTAATCATTAGTTGATTATCTTATCGATCGACTTTCGATTAATTGATAAGCGGCGTTTTTCACCTGAGTTTCAGGGCTTCAATAGGGCCTTGAGGTATTATATTACATTAGCCAACATTATGATACCATAATTATATTGTATTATATTATACATTCCTCAAGTAATTATGCATTAGGAGAAGAAAGCAGACACGTTTTTAAGGTAAAACAAAATCTTTAATTAAAAAAAAACCTGGCTCAGTTCTTGCATTTGAAACAGACATAAAAAGAGAATAGAATAAATTAAATAGAGAGCCAAACAGAATATTATTGAGCCTATAGGTTAGAAAGAAACTGCATAGGCTATTAATTGGGTAATCCTCAACAATCCTAAAATGAAACATCCACAACATATTTCTACCTCAATTTGTATAGGGTTACAGCAAAATAGAATGAAACGTTCACAGGGTCACTGAACACAACAACATAGCATAACATTACAGGGCCTCAAACCAGAACAATCAAATAAAGTGGTGATTCAATATTACCCTCTTCTAACTGAAATGTGGCACATCACAACTTGACCTAGGCCTAGGTTCTATATATTTTTGTTCAAGAAAATTAGCATGTTAACGTGCTCTGGGGTAAGGCGTGTACGTAGCCTGTTTACAGTGAGCCCAGCTACTGAAAACACACGCTCAGAGGGGACTGATGTGCCTGGCGTACACAAATACCGTTTTGCTAGTGTTGCCAGCGTTGGAAACCTCCTTTCATTCACTTTCCACCAGCACGTGGGGCTCGACTCAAGTGGTGCAGGAGGGTCCTTTAAGTACATATCCACTTCACTCTCCAGGTCACCTTTGCGGGCATCGGAATTGAAGTGGTCCCACACCGCACTTCTTTTCGCCCGCTTCATTTGGTTTTCAACCCTGGTCTCTCTCGCGACACGAGGCGTGTTCTCGTTCTCACGCTGTGTTCAAGTTACAGTAAAGCGCTAGCACCCTCTAGCGGTTAATCGTGATTAATACATTTTGATCGAGCAACCTCTTGATCGACAATTAATCTAAAGTCGATTAACCGTTTGCATCCCTAAATCCTATTGTAAAAGAATACGCAAGTAGCAACCTGTTTTTGTGTGATTATTTGTTGTATCAGTCAAAATGTTACATTTAAGAATAAAGACATGCATTTTAAAAAATGTTTTTTGTTTGCTTCAACAATTAATCAAAATTTACATTAGCACATTGGTACCTCTTGTCTGAGTCAATGTAACCCTGGGATACATAAACGTTTTGGACTTTTGAAGTGAAAATATTTCATCAATTCGTACTCCTTAGTGTCAGTTTCTAGTCTTTATCACTAGTGTTTCTCTGCAGCTTCAGCCTCTGTTCTCCATCCTCCATCAGTGTCTCTGATCTTCCTGCTTCCTCTCAGTCTCTAATGTTTCAGTTGATCTTCTCTCCTCCATCTCTGTGTTTCTTCTCTAAACATGGAAACAAACAGACCTGTCCACAGATCTCCTCACTAGAACCAGAACCACTGACCCAGGAGCTCCTTCTCTATAAAGCAGCTCTATCAAAAGTTTCTCTGATCAGAGGAAACATGATTACAGCTTTTCTTGTTGCTCTTTTACAGCCTGAGCTTCAAGCTTCCATCAGTCTGATGGTTTCAGAAATCTTCTCTCACATTTTCCCACTGCAAATTTAATTAGGTCGACTGATGGGTCATGAAAATAACATCTGTGTAATTTTGTTATGCAATATTGATGGACATATTAAGACTACTTTAAAAACTAGAATGATTTGAATTATTTTAGATGTAATGTCTTAATTGTCCAGCATGATGGAGCCTCTCAGCAGCTCAGATGCTGAATGGAGACATGAGAACAGGTCAGATTTATATCAGCTGATATTATTATCATAAAATCAATCCTCATCTCATGATCTTCCTCATGTTGAACAGCCTGTGATAAAATCAATCAGTTTTTCTCTCAGTAATATTTCCTTATTTAATGTAGTCGACCTTCATGGATCAGAGCTGATGATCTGCTCTGTCGTCGTGACGACAGACAGAGATCAAACATTCATGGTGAATCTTTAACAAAGTTAACTTCATGGTTTTAATGTTGATCTATGAGCAAAAACACTCAGATGGTCCAACGACAGTTTGAATCATTTAGTAACTCAGGCTGCTGATTTATTCTGATCTAAACATAGAAATTAGACTGAATCATTTCTACTCACAATGTTTAGGAGTTTTTTGTACTAATTTCTAAAGTTATCTATAAAGTTAAATAAATATGTATAAATAAAGTTTAAATATATAAATAAAATAACTTCATTGAAGTTAAATGAAGAATTCAAATTGCTGTAACTAAACTGATTCAAACAGATCAAAGTTAGTTTGGAAAATTAATTAACAAAGAAATTAAATGTATTTTTATTTTTTGCTTTTCTAACTGATCACTGTTTGGATCAAAGTTTGCAGAACATTTAAACACGAGTGAAGCTCAGCTCTCTAACTTCATTTTTATCTCTATAGTCTGATTTGGTTTTTACATTAATTCAGATCATCTGTTTCCTGAATTCACTTCACGAATTTAATGATATTTATGAGCTTCAACACAGCAAAACCTGTTGTTCTCCTGCTAAAACTAAATGACTAAAATCATGTCCTGTTTTATCACCAATGTGTTTGCTGATATATTCTGCAAGGAAAAAGCTCAACCATCTCCAATATAAAATAAAACCTAATCATCTCATCTCATTCACCAAAAATGTCGTCTTGTCGTCCTAATGGGATGTAACCATAGAACGGCGCATCCACTCAACTTTAACTTTTACTATGAAATAGTAAACTTAGAAATTTCCGATCCAATCGACAGACTAATCTTACTTTGAACAAAGAAACAGCTAAATAAGTTTTTGGATATAAAAGTTAACACACCCCTGATCAAACGTCTGTTTTTATGTAGAAAAAAAATCAAGATTAGAGATGTTCAATTAGGGCTGAAGGATTTGGCCAAAAACAAGAATTGCAATCTTTTTTTAACCAACATTATGATTTTATTTTCGATTTTCCTTTTCACTAACCACAAGTTTATAGATGCTTCATTTCAGGATTTCAGTTGTTTTCGTTGCTTTGAAAGCTTGCTATTCCAGTTTATTGTTGCAGGACTTTACTGTAACCTTTGTTTGAAAGAGTGCTTACTTCTACTTGGATGCATGTTAGCTGCAACTTTCTCTTCTTTTTTGTGTGGAGGAAAACCCGTTTTAAACATGTAATCACCAATTAAAGGACTGCAGTTAGAAATTATGTGTCTTACTCTTAATGTGACCAACACTGAGAGCTTCTGCGATTTGAAAATTGCATTTTAATAAATAGTGATTATATTACAAATTATATTGCTAATTTTGATATCAGAAATTGGTCCAATATTAGTCAATAAATGAGTATTGGTATAAATCAGGCTGCATCTAAAAGCTCTGATAGAAAGCAGTTTAACCCTTTGGTTACTAATAAATGGCTCAGTTGTTTTCATTCCTCCTGTTATTGTTCTGTTTGAATGAAAATCCCTTGATCAAACCTTTTCCATCATTTCACACAACAAAATGAGTAATAAAAGTCTGCATAATTCATGCTGATATCATTTCAGGTTAATTCTAGTATCGGTCAATACAGAAAATATCTGCACTGTATCAGAAATTAAAAAGTTGTATCAGGACGAAACTAATTAAGGTAACAATTTTATACCTAATAATGACTTTTAAGCCAAAATAATTTAGAATTACTTCCTCGATAATAAATAAAATAAAAAAAAATCAGCAGAAAATGAAATATAATGGGACCATCTCTGTGATACACACCATGTTTAATATCACTGATAACGGCGGAGAAAATTATAGAAGTGTTAAACTCTGAATTTCTAAGTTTTGATCTTGTTAATTGTATTAATTAAATAATTAAACAGTTGTTGGCTTAAATTTCACCTATCTAAAGTCCCATCTATCAGAGTTAATTTAATCAACATTTCTCTTGGATAGATCCACAGCTCAGTAATATCTACATATCAGTGTCTTGTCTGAACCCCGAGGAACCGGGGGCGGGGTAGTTGTAGTGTGTGTTCTACTTCCTATAAGCAACAACAAAAAAAAAAATCAATAAATGGTGAAATAAAAACAAACCTCCAGTTTGGTTGAAGCGTGGCTTTAAATTTGCAATGTCGGCTTTGAAGGTCTGCTGGTAACCCTGAGCGATTTCAGTCTGTCTCTCCCAGTACTGCTGATCATTGTTCTCCTCCATCCAGTCCTGTTTAGGAACACATTTCTGGGTGACGCTGTCATAGTAAATTATCTGGGCATCATCAACCAAACCAACAACCACAAACTGTGGGAAGTTTGGGACTTCAGACGATCCAGTGAAGAAATACTTCAGGGAGTGGGTCACTGAAAAAAATAACAATGGGATTAAAAATATATAAATGATAGAATAATTAAACCTTTACTTCACACAAGTTAATTAAACTAAAGACCATCATTAATAAAACTAGCCTTTAAATAAGGAGACAATGTAGAAAGTTTTTTTTTTTATATATAAATTCTAAGGAGTTTGTTCACTTTAAATAAAAAAGATATTGTTAAACAGTTAAATCAGTTTTATTTAGTATTTCTTTTTTAATTTTAGTACTTTAAATGTTTACCAGACAAAACTTTTTTTAGTATCATAATGTCAAACACTGTTTTACTAAATGTTCTGTTTGATTATAGTTTATATTTTACAAACTTTAGAAAACATCAAAGACAGATTTCTAGTCAGTGCTAATGAAGATTCTCAGTCAACCAGGTCATAGTCATTCCGTAAAAGTTTAAAAGAAAAACAATCCACTGGACTTGGTTTCCAAGATTTGAAGACGTTTTGCTTCCCCTTCAGGAAGCTTTCTCAATTCAAATTTCTGGATCCGCAGTGAGTTTGAGTCTTTATAGAGACAAGGCCTTGTATTGCTTGGAAACATTATCCAGTGTGAGAACACTGTAGCTTTCTTGTTCAAATTAATGGCGGGAAATTGGAAACAGAAATGAACTAAACAGAGATCTCCATAAAACCTGACTGAACTTTTGGTGCCACATCCCATGATCCAACTGATAAGTTGAATTTAACACTTTTAAACAACCAGAATATCTTCTAATAACAACATGGATTAAGCAACTGTGTTTTCTCCTTAGCTGGGCGTTTTTTGGTTTAAATTTTACAGAAGTGTAACAGCAGAACCAGTTAAATTCAGTTAACTTTTGTAGCACAAATTAAAATGTGGTCTTCACAGAAACAGTTCAATCAGATGATCCAGACATTGATCAACGGTTAACAGATTGCTTTATCTCCTCCTGTAGCGACATTACTGTAGATGCTTCAATTACATTGTACAGCAATCTGTCATTCTGAGCATGCATGCAGTGAAAGTGGAGAGCAAAAACTCCCTTTAGTAATAATAGGTTATTTATAAGAGATGTTTTCACAGAGTCTGAAATGAGTGAAGCTAAAACTATACTAAACTATCTGAGGTTTTGTAAATAGAGGATATTTACGATAATGAAGGTTTTTATTCTAAGTCATAGGAAAGCGGCTGTTCCAACAGTTGCATTTCCGAAATTCTCCCGAGTGGTGCATGACTTTACATTAGTGAATTAAGTGAATGTGATTGGTCGTTTATCAAGGGGGCAGGACTGTTGTTGCAGAAGGTTCGAAAGTAAGTTTGGTTGTGGCCGGTGTCTTGGAAGCATCTTGCTAACCAGTTAGCAACTTAGTGCTAGCAGGTTCCCAATGGGAAATTCCATTGGGACCAAGTAGCA